TCTAAATGAAATGGTATCGTCTGCTCCAAAAAAAAAAACATGCACCCTTATAATTGTCATTCTGACTGTATCGGACTGGAAAGGTAGCTTATTTACATTCATAAACATTATTATGACTGTAGACGATCAGCACGGTTTGTTGCGTACAAGGGAAGAGATCAGGAATGGGCAGAATATCTGATACTCGTCCTCCTTATGACTGTATCGGACTGGGAAGATAGTTGTATATACATTGAATTGTAGTCGTCTCATCGTTATGACTGTATCGGACTGGAAAGATAGTTGTATACATTGATGAATTGTAGTAGTATCCTCGTTATGACTGTATCGGACTGGAAAGATGGTTATATACATTGATGAATTGTAGTAGTTTGTAGTAGATGGTGGGGGGTGGTTGTGTTCGAGGGAACCGGGTAGAGTCGTCGGCAGTGACTGAATTTGTGTTGTTGTCCACGGTCATATTCACACTAGCCCTTTCCATAACCCAGCTGGCTGCAATTATGCCTGCACCTGGATGAGAATCGGGACACAAACATGTCCAGAGCTTTGTGGAAAAAGGAAGGAAAAGCAGGAAAATAAGGAAAACTACAAACGACAGAAGCATGTATGAAATGCACGTAAGAAAATGAAAATGGAAAGTAGAGTTTAGAACGAAGTTTAACCAACGAAAATATCTATTGAACTCATTTGAGTCCATACGATATGATGAGTGGACATGATTTTGAAAAAAAATGAATAGTGAAGCTGGGAACGGTATGGAAGGTGGTTAGGGACAGTATGCATGTTTCAGTGCATAACTGGAAGAATATGCGTCTCTCTCTCTCTCTCTCTCTCTCTCTCTCTCTCTCTCTCTCTCTCTCTCTCTCTCTCTCATACCAAGGAGAATTCAGAGATCCTCTCGTATGTGCATGCACAGGCTCTCGTTCTTGCACGTGGTGGCACATGGTGCAGAATGAACCTCTCCCCCCCCCAAAAAAAGACCCCTCCTGCTCTCTCTCTCATGCCCATGCATGCGCTCGCTCTTGCATGTGGTGGTACATGGTGCAGAATGAAGCCCACCCCCCGTCCCCCCCGACCAAAAAAAAAAAAAAAACCCCTCCTGCTCTCTCTCTCTCTCTCTCTCTCTCTCTCTCTCTCTCTCTCTCTCTCTCTCTCTCTCTCTCTCTCATGCGCATGCACGCGCTCTTGCACGTGGTGGCATATGGTGGAGAATACCCCCCCCCAAAAAATAAAAATAAAAATAAAAGACCCCTCCTGCTGAATTTGGGGCAGCCCTGACAGCGCCCTCACGACCGGCCTGGGGCCTATGTCACCAGTCTAGTATTGACTGGTGCCACAGCAAAAGGTGTTTACGTTGAGTGATCCCAACCGTTAGACTGAGAGTCAAAACAGTTTGTCATGCATTTATGGGAGCGGCCCGCTAACCGTGCACAACATTTAAGGTGCCTCAAGGGTGTTTGTTTTTTCGGGGGTGGGGGGGGGGGGAACGGAAAGGGGGGGATAAATGTGTGGAAATCTTGGTGGGTTCAGCTATGCTCACATACTCCCTCCAGTGTACAGTGATGATCCAATTATGGTGCAACAAATAAAGAAACATTTTAGAAATCATTTAAAATTATTATGTGAGTCTTGGGCTTTTTTTTTTTTTCTTTTTTTTTTCCCCCCGATGGTTGCTTATTATTTTCCACACCTTCCAACCCGTGCGCACGCCACCTTCCCAACCCCACCAGCCTCTTAGAAAACTGACTAGTACTTTTTTTTCTTTTTTTTCTGAAACACGTCCCCTGCAAAGCTAGTGGTGCGGGTAAGAGCAGACCAGTGGTGTCCAAACTGACTAGTCCTTGCTGAATCATGTGGAAAATTGGAAATCAAGGTCGGGCTTTTCCCGCATGTGAAGTTCAAAAAAAAAAAAAAAAAAAAAAGCAGGACCTGCACAGAATGAACTACTCCATCATTGCGTCGTTCAGTGAAAACATTGAAACGAGAATATTTGAGAAAGAAGAAGATGGAATAGATGTGGAAAAAAAAAACGGAGAAAATGGAAATGATAGTGAAAAAAAAACGGAGAAAATGGAAATGAAAGTGAAGGCCTGTGTGAGATGACGGCTATGAGATGGACCATTACACGAACAGCGTGAGGGGATTTTGACGTATGTGTGTGATGGGAGTAGCACAAGAGTAGCACACACACACGATGAGTGTTTTTTTTTTTTTTTTTTTAAGCCCCCAACATTGTTAGTGGTGCGCCTGACAAGACAAGCGGACGATTAGAGGAGCACATGGGGGGATTCAGATGTGTATGTGATGGGAGGAGCACACACACGCGATGAGTAAGATGACAAGACAAGAAGTGAAAATGTCCAAGAAAAGGAAAGGAACAAGGGAAGTACCCAGCCGGCCCAACAGATCGTTCTGACGAGAGATGATGGCTCAAAGAAACTGTCTGCCTTCCTTGTACAGCTGGGCTGGTGCCAAAACTGTCTGCCTACGAATCGGCACTCTCAAATAAATAATCCATCCATGCGTTGGCATATTATGGAATGAACGGAGCGGAGTGGAGTTTGCTGCTCAGCTAGCACCAAAATCCTCCAAAATGCGGAGGAAAAAAAAGAAAAGAAAAGGAATGGAATACGCACGGCTCCTCTTCGATCAAACTATGGCGAGCCTACTGATTGACCAATGAATTTGGGAACTTCCAACTCAAGGCAATTCCAGCATATAGCGAAGTGATTGAACTCTCATGTTGCCATGAGAGGGACCCATTTTGAGCCCACAATAAATCCAAGAACGCCAATACTTATCATAGATACCAAAATCCTCCAAAATGCGGAGGGAAAAAAAGAAAAGAAAAGGAATGGAATACGCACGTACACACTCACACACCTAACACACACACACACACACACACGCACACACGCACACACACGCACAAAGACAGTTCTCCAGCTGAACTTACTTTAGATTAGGAGGGCATATGGAAACAACAGAGGTTTCTCTCTCTCTCTCTCTCTCTCTCTCTCTCTCTCTCTCTCTCTCTCTCTCTCTCTCTCTCTCTATCTATCTATCTATCTATCTATCTATCTATCTATCTATCTATTCAAACATAGGTGCACAGATCTTCTCTGGCCCACATATAAGCTCTAACAACTGGAAAGTAGTATCTGCAAAGCACAATCTTTTTTATTTTATTTTATTTTATTTTATAATCTGACGCTTCCACGTCATACTCCGTCAACCACAGTGAGGAGGATGTTGCGCCCAAAATGCACCAAAGAAAGGATCATTAGATTTTTTTATCCAATGCTGACGGCTTGTTTTGACCCCCACCCTCCTGAGACCCAGCAGGCGGAGGGAAGCCACCCACTTCTCAGGACCCTGTTCCTCCTTCCCTTCCCGGACAAGTATGTTAGACACCACACACCTGATAGGACTCTGATGAGGCAGAGTCATCTGAGAGAGGCCAGGACATTTTGAGAAAGGGGGATGGGGGAGATGAGAGACAGAGGTGCGGGAAGGGGTATAGCCAGACAAGGGTAAGAAGACACTGAGCCCGACTGTCTCTTTAGATGACAGGGCACTGTGCTATGGGGGAAAAGGTGCAGAGACAGATAGGCAGATTCCTCAGACAATTGCTCAGTTTGCCCTTTCTGTCTTTCTTAAATTTTTCCCAACTTTTGTTTTCTCAGTCTTCTCTTTTTTACCCAGCATAAGACATTCCCAACGATATGCAACAAATGGGACGCTGGACCCGGTTTCCAGCAGGTGATGCAACCCTAGCACCCTCTCGGGTTGTCTTTTCATTGCTTTCTTTTGTTTTTCTCAATAGGCGTAGCATGTACCATTTTTCTTTCTTATGTGGCAAGTGATGTTTTCAGTATATCACTATGATCAAATGGGACGCAGGACTATGGCAAATTGGTTTCGAGCAGGTGCGGCGCCCCGCCAATAGATTGCAGCACAAGGCCGGGCTACTATATAGGTGGGTATGCTCTCACCATCCCCCGTAGTAGCAGGCTCATTTTTGTAAAAAAAGAAAAAAAGAAAAGGGAGGCCCAGTAGGCGTCTTTTTGTGATCTCATTTTGGGTTGTTGTCCAGTCAAATTCCTGACCTGACCTCCCCCTCCCCCCCCCCCCCCCAGGGCTCTTCTTTCATTCTCTTCTCTACGATCAAGCTGTCTTCTCAAGCAAGTTGAAAACCCAGACGCATTGCCGCCTCCCATGTGACGTCGATTCGCTCCGGATCAATGGCTCCAACTTCATGGTGGTCCCACCCTTCCAGTAGGTGCACAAGAGCACCAGCATGACACCCATGCACAACCCCCCTTTCCATTGTCATCTGCACAGGGCACAACACAACGGGCAGGGGGGGAGGGAGGGGGGGAGGGAGGAGGGGGCAATAATCTCTCTCTCTCTCTCTCTCACACACACACACACACACAAAGACGACCATTCCTGTCGTTAGTTTCTTGCACAGGGCACAACACAACGGGCAGGGGGGCAATAATCTCTCTCTCTCTCTCTCTCTCTCTCTCTCTCTCTCTCTCTCTCTCTCTCTCTCTCTCTCTCTCTCTCTCTCTCTCTCTCTCTCTCGCACACACACACACACACACACACACACACACACACGCACATGCACACATTCAGGCCTTCGATCCGATCCTCTTTGCTAATGGGACCTCGGCCTTCGGAAGGGTCCCCACAACAACAGAGAGAGAGGTGGTAACTTCTTTTCTCTTTAGTTTCGTTGGTTTTCGAAGAAGGGGGAGAGGCAAGAACTTTTTTTTTTTTTTTTTAACCGACCGGATGCTACCAGGTGTGTACATCAAAAGGAAAAAGAGAGAAGGGAAAAAAAAAAAAAAAAAAACTTTCTTTGTGTTCATCATTAATTTTGGAATTTTTTTTTGTCTTTTGTAGGTATGTCGTGGGATCGGCGAGTGTGATTGTTGGAGTTTAGAGTGGATTCTGCGTCTCTATGGTCTATGGTTGTTAAACCACCAGTACTTGGCCCAGCTATTGATGCCGAGCCTGGAATGCCCCTGCGCGCCGATTTTCGGCGAAGCGCCGGGGTACCGTTTCAATTTTTTTTTGGCTGGCGCTTCCAGCCATTGTGGTCCGGTACCCCGAAGCCCTAAAGGCGCGGCGCGGCCGATAGCTGGGCCAAGTACTGGTGGTTTAAACCGCTACTGCTACCGTCTTCCCCCGAAAATAACGCAACCTGACAATGAATGCATACAAGCTAAATTTCCGGTCGGTACAGCCCAAATGAGGGTGCGTCATGTTCGGCGGGAGTGGAAGATGGTAGGACATGGCCCCAGCCGTGCAGAACAACTTTGCCGCCACAAGCAAAACTGGCAGCCACCGTGCCGCCAGGGGTGCTGTTAAAAAAAAACAAAAAAACAAAACAAAAAAAAAGGACATAAGTTACATAACGAAATTCTGGTCATTATAGCCGTATTTGGGGCAACTTTCAGTCTAGATACAGCCATAATCACAGGGTGTTCTATACACTGTCAGGTGAAGGGAGGGTGTTCTGTCATCCACAGCCAGTACACAGCCCCAGCCAAACTCTGCCAGCGATCACCGTGGGTGTACTCCTTGCCCTCTACAACACCCTGGGATTGTTGGGAAAGGGGGCGGGGGGGGAAGTCATGGCTGGCTCCAAACGTTTTGAAGGCTTTCTACCTCTCTGGGTGTAGAGAGGTGACGACGGCATGTTCGCCCCTTTTCCCTAGCTTTTTAGGGTCCAGGGTTGAGGCCGCCGGTTGGGCCTTGGCTAACACAAGGACTGAGCATTTGCCGGTGGGCTACTGGGCCACATATAACCAGGAAACGATTGGTGCATTTGTCGTCCCCCCCCCCCCCAAAAAAAAAAACAAAAAAAAAAACATATAACCAGGACACGGGCCCGGGAAACGGGCCCAGCGTCCCTTGCATCCTTTGCTGCGGCCAAACGGGCTAAGCAAGGCACTCTCGGCCAAACCTATCCCTACGGCAGCCCCACAAGGTCATCACAACCAATCCCAATCCCAATCCCAACACTAAAACGAAAATCGCGTTCCCTAGTAGTGCCAGCCAAAAAAAAAGAAAAAAAAAGTGCGTGGCTGGTAATTTGGTAAAAAGCTTGGCGCCCACAGGCACTAGCGCTGCGGCAAAAAAAAAAAAAAAAA